CACTGAAAAAAGTGACCTATGACCGTTTTTCACACTTACGACCAAAGCAGCATTGATTTTGCTTGCTGGAAGCTGGCAGAGAAGGTCGCAATTGGCAATCATGTGACTGCAGCTCACTGCGATGTTGTAATCACAAGCCAGGCACCCACGTTGTGAGAACCAGAGCTTTGAATGGTGACTGAATGAATGTAACTGAGAACTACCTGTAGAATAGCAACCCTTAATTAGTCTACTTACCTTCTCCACGTGCAAAGCCAGTTTCACCCCATTGTGCAGCCAAGAAAGTGCCACTATTGGGTCTCCTTCCACTTCACTGCCCACCTCACTCTCCCAGCTGTTGGCCAGGTGGTCCATCATACTCCAACATTTGACGTGCCCATCAGCGTCAGCAGAGAGCAGTCTGGATCCTGCAGCCATATTGAATGAATGAATGAATGAATGAATGAATGAATGAATGAATGAATGAAGTCAGAATACCAATCAAGGGAAAGACAGGCCCATCCTCTAGGTCAGGGGTGTCCAACCTTGTCCAAGCTTTGCTGGCTGAGGAATTCTGGGACTTGAAGTCCACAAGTCTTAAAGTTGCCAAGGTTGGACACCCCTGCTCTAGGTATAAGATGGAATTAACTGATCTCGCATATTTGAATGTTGTCTTAAAAATAAATTTTCTTTCATGAACTTTTTGATTTAGGGAATATCATGAAAGAGACTTCACAAGGATTAGCGAAATGATATTTTATCGTCATAGGTTATAATAGCAGAATCTTGAAAGACTGCCAATTTCCTTGCACCCTGTTATATCAAACAGCAGGGTAGAGTTATTTTGAGTCTCTCTCTCATGTCCTCTTCTCCCTCCCAGGATTGAATTGTCATTTATAGTCTCTTAATGGTCCTTGTATTCTTTCATCAAGGTCAATTTCATGCGCCTTTACATGGATGTAGCCATGTAATCGTCTTGGCAACAACCCAGACATGGTTTGCCCATGCTTTCTTTTAGGATATTTTATGAACAGTCTACAGCCGTGAAGTTTGCTGGTGGTTTCTCTTTGAAATAGCTTCTGGAATCAGCCAAGGTCAGCTGGACAGCTAATAATATAAACCACCTGTCAACTTCAAACAGAACCTGGCTGCAGCCATCTTTCAGTTCCTCAGTTGCCACACATAGTGGGAAGGGAGGGAGGGGAAGGAGGTTGGAATGCATTGTTAGACACAACAAAGAGTTTTCTCACAAGAACCAAGGTCATCTCTACTGGCAACTGATAAGGTTTGGGAAGGAGTGGTCGAAGAACCCACCAATGAACCCAACTGACCAACCTGACCTGTGACACTTGGGGATGGGGTTATTTCCTAATTTAATTATACTGAAACCACAGGAAAGATTTAGAATTGGATTTCCATTGAAGCTGTGCTGATATGATATACTCGATAAAGAGGACCTTTGAGAAGGAGTCAAGTCCCAGAGTTCTGATTTGCTTGGCTTTGTTAGTCGGAGCCTTGACACCACCCTTCCCCATCCTGGCACTCTCTCTAATAAATTTGGAAAGTACCAGCCTGAAGAAATGGATCTTTAATATTAATTTCATCAACTCATTCTGACAGTGCAAGGTGTTTTTTTTTTTGAAAAAACTAAGATTTTCCCAGGCAATCCAGTGATGGAGACACTTTTTATTTGCAAGTGCCATGAAATGAACCGGAGGTCTTCAGGTCAAACAGGTGCACCAAGCTACAGCTGCCCTTCTTTACCTGACTGATCCCATTCCAAGCAGGTAATTATTTCAATGTGTCCGGAATTGATGGAGTGGACGTCCCACGGATGTTCTGTGTCAAGGATGTGGACCATATGGGTGAGGTCTGAGGAAGGAAATAAAAGAAAAAAAGTGACACAGATGGTGTCAACCCTGAAGCTGATTTTACTGAAGCCATTTTGAAGCTTCAATATTGCCACACTGGAGCTGAGGGATTGGGAGGGGGGGGGGGAATAGAGGTAGCTGAGGTTTGTAGCCAAAATAAAATACTTTCTCCTGAGAACCAAGGACATTCTCACACCTGATCAGAGAGAGGAGTGATGTTATCAGGCAACTGGATGGCACCTTGATTGGACCATGTGACTTATTGTTTGTGGAAAGGGGAAAACTTTTCAGGGAAAACTGCGGGAACCTTCATAGTTAATTTTCACCAGAACTGTGCCAATATGATGCATCCAATAAAACTGTTCTTTGAGGAATCTACCTGCCTCGGAGTTTTGTTTGCTATGGGTGTATTACTTGGGCCCCGGACAGATGGATGAGAAAGCACTAGAGGGGAGAAAATATTATTTAGAATTAACACTGCAGCTGCTTGGAGATCAGGTAGAGTAAATGAGATGACAAAGTTGGGTTTAAGATTGAGGGAGGCTCGGGGCAATCTCTTTCTCAGATTCCCTCTGCTCTAGACTCACTTCCAGCTCAAAATGGAGAAATAATAATAATAATGGGCAGATTTCCCATTCTAGTTCCCCACATCTACAATGGACTACAGGTAGTCCTTGACTTATAACAATTCATTTAGTGACTGTTCAAAGTTACAATGGCACTGAATAAAGTAACTTACAACCATTTTTCACAGCTACAACCTTTGCAGGATCCCCATGGTCATGTGATCAAAATTCAGACACTTGGCAGCTGACTCATATTTATGACAGTTGCAGCTTCCCAGAGTCATGTAATCACCTTTTGCAATCTTCTGACAAGCAAAGTCAATGGAGGAATCCAGGTTTATCTAACCCATCAGGTTATTAACCTAACAACTTCAGTGATTCACTTAACTACTGTGGTAAGAAATGTCATAAAATGGGATAAAACTCCATTTTAACATTAACAATTAACAAATTTCTCACTTAACAACAGAAAATTTGGGCTCAGTTGTGGTCGTAAGTCTAGGAGAACCTGTATTCAAAATAACACGAAGATCTGCCAGTAAGCTGGATCTTTGACCTCAACACCAAAACCTTTCATGATGGAGAAAGCAACAGCTATGGTCTGTTGCCCATCTAGGATTCAAGAGCAGATTGTCTCTGGAACCATCCATTAATTTAAGTAATCTGCCCAATTCTCTGGGAAAGCCAAGAAAATGCAATAAATTCACCATTATCAGATTGAGGCTATTTAATGGGCTGACCCTTTTGTTTGGTACAAGATTATCCATTTCTTCATATTCTCTTATTTATCTATTTATACCCCGCCTTTATTATTTTTATAAATAAGTCAGTGAACATATCGAATAGACCTTCCTCCTGTTTGTGAGCAACTTTTATTTATTTATATCCCACCTTTATTTTTTATAAATAACTCAGGGTGGCATACAATACTTCCTCCTCCTCCTCCAACAACTCCCGTGAGGTGAGTTGGGCTGAGAGAGAGTGACTGACCCAAAGTCACCAAGCTGGTTTTCATGCCAAAAGTGGGACTACAACTCCCAACCAACTGGTGATCGGCCCAAAGTCACCCAGTTTTCACACGTAAGGCATGTCATAGTCTCCTGGTTTCTAGCTTGGTGCCTTAAATATTAGACCAAACTGGTTAACATCTTAAAACAATATTAAAATATTAAAAATTTCATCAACTATCTTCATATTCCAGAACGTATTAAGAGTAAGGTCAGTGGCAAAGAAACCAACATAGTAGGAAATACCTTTTTCCTCCTCATTTTTGAGGTCTGTGGTGAAAGCAATCAAATTGCGACAAGACCAGGCACAGACCAGTGGAATGGACGGGCAGTGGTTACTCTTTGGACGCTTCTCCCACTCACAGATATATGCCAGATCCATTGTGTCTTCCTCAGTTTAATAGCCAGGACCTAGAAGAAAATTGCAACTAGAAGCTGCCGTAACTATTACAAAGAAAAAAAACAACCAGCTGATAAACCAAAGAGAATCACAGCAGACATCCCCTGCTCCACTTCTTAAAATATGCTGCTTGCAATATTCTACATGTGCAGAAATAAAACACTAAGTTTGGACAAAAGGTAGGGGAAACAGTAAACTGTTCCATGTCTGCAAGGCAGAAGAAGGAACATCAACACACAGACAAGGCAGCAGACATTTTCCCACTCTTCACTATATTAATTCCATCAGATGCCCATCATAATCCAAAACGTATGTCGCTAGCAGAGAGTTGGACTTTTTTTCCAAGTAAGATCAACTGGATACTGGAATGATAGCCTCTTTTTAATTCAGTTTCTTCCTAAGTCAAAGACAAAGGTCCTGTATGTGAAATAAATTCACACTTTCCCCTTTTTAACTTTGTCTCCATTTACCTCCACTTTTTTTTAATTATCCAGGTTTGTTTACAAAGGCAGCCACAAAGTCCTCTGCTTTTGTCAAAAGGAGAAAAGCATCATCCTGCTGTCATAATATAAGCTCCATCTTTTCATATGTGCATGTGAAACAATGATGCACATCCAAAAGGGGGCAAACTGGTGTCCCAACGCTCTTTTGTGATTTGCCTCCAACACCTGCCTTCCCTCTCCCCCCCCAAGACACCTCTGAATTGCTGGATCACATCTGGCTGGCCATAATGGTAGATGTAGCTGAAAAAGTTGAAAACAACCCATCATCTCATCCTCTAAACCTCATGAATCGTAAGTGAGCTTTTAAAAAAATTTAAGATTTCAAATAAATTTGACGGACCAGTTGGATTAACTGAAATAATGATGGGGGGAAATAGTGCTACTGAGGCAGGCTGCAATATCTATTATTTTTTTAATGGACCTTTCAAAATCTGTAGCCATTTGGAAATGCTATGCAATCTTATGTTCATGCAATATAAGAATATATAAGATAGCTATAGATATTGAGAAAATAATCTTACTTCTCTTTGGAGCACTTGATGCCCACTTGAGCTTGGTTGTTTTCCGCAGTCATTTCATTATATCCAATGTCTGCAAGAAAACAACCAAGCTCAGAGAGCACCAAAGATTCTACACTTCCATTTTGATCTACGAATATTTTCTTCTATTGTTAATTTTCTTCCTTGTTGCAATTTGATTTGAATGCCATTAATGGTTTTAAATTGCATTTATCACAATCAGGTACAGTGTATGTTTTAACCATAAATGTTCATATACACAAGAATCAGAAGGAGCTAATTGGGCAATCAAAACCAGCCCTAGCAGGGGTGGGATTCTACCAGTTTGCCCCTATTCTCTAGAACCGGTTGTTAACATTCTAAGCAGTTCAGAGAACCGGTTGTTAGAAGAAACTACTGGCCTAATCCTGTAAGGAAGGCAGGAAGGAAACATTCTGGTGTTGCTTACAGAAACTGCCTCTCTGTTAACCCTTATTGCATTCTTGGCAGGACTAGACTTCCTGTCTCAGGAACTTCTCTGGAGTTTCCCCCCCCCCCTCCTTTGCTGGTACTTTGCTTGTGTGGAGTGACCCTTCAAAGTTACAATGGCACCGGAAAAGGTGACTTATGACCATTTTTACACTTACAACTGTTGCAGCATCCCCACAGTCATGAGAGGCCAGGCGAGGAGATGCGTGCCTCGATGTGAGTGATGTTGAGTTGGCCACGCCTAGCCAGTAACATGACCACCAAGCCATGTCCACCCAGTCACATGACCACCAAGCCATGCCCACCAACTAAGCCACACCCACAGAACCGGTTGTTGAAAAATTTGAATCCCACCCCTGAGCCCTAGCATCAAATTAAAGCACTCCCTGCTCAGCCTTTTGCTTTGACACATCTCATGAAAAGATCCCAGCTCTGCTTTAGTTGCCAAAATGTGCTTCATGTTAGGAAGTTCTTCCAGTATTTTGTGTCCCTAATAGCAGGGAGAATGAGAAGAGATCTTGGTCTTTGTCACTGTAACTTTCCTCCAAGTATTTAAAAAGCACTATCATTTCCTTTCCTTAACTGTCTCTTCTTCCAGCTAAATATTTCTGGTTTCCTCAATCTCTCCTCATGAAGGCCTTATTTCCAATTCCCTAATTAAACGTGTACTTTTTACAATTACTTTTTACAATCTCTCTGGGTTTTTAAAAAGGGGATGTTTGGAACCGAACACAACACTCAAGGTGGAGTCCAAGCTATGTAATATATCATAGAAACAGCATTTCCTATAATTTGGGACCTGTACTTCTATGAATTGCAGTCCAAAATTGCACTTCCCCTTTTTTTCAGCTATGTTGCACTGCTGAAGCATATTCAGTTTAAGATCAGTGACAATCAGTGACAAGGGGGCGTGCATAAGCGCACCAACGTGCCTACCGTCCCTGTCCTATTGTTTCTCTTATTCTTTTATTTTTCTTATATGTAACCATTTCATGTATTCACAACTATGTATACATTTATACTTATTATCTTGTAAACAATTGGCAAATCAAATAAATAAAATAAAAAATAAAAAAATTCCATTTTTTCCCCAGATGCACCCCACTATCTCACAGCTGGGGAATTCTGGGAATTAAAGTCCACAGATCTCAAATGTTACCAGGTTTGAGAAACACCATTCTAGATTTTGCAGCCTAGATATGATGGTCCTAAATATGAGAGGCCTTCTGTTCCCTCAAGTCATTCATGAAAATCTTAATGGGTACCAGTTCCAGGAACAAACCTATAGTTCCCCATTCAATGCCTTATTATTCCAGGCTTATCCCAATTTGATTTTTAAAACACAATGACTATTCTGTCCCTTCTGTGATGGTTGGTTAGACTCAGGAGTGACTTGATGGTGTATAATCAATCAATCACTCTTTGATTATAGTTTTGAAGGCATCTGTGTTTTTCCCTTAATAGATCACACATTGATCTACATTGTCAATACAAGTAGTCCTCCACTTACGACTACAGTTGAGCCCAAGATTTCTCTTAAGTGAGATCATTGTTAAGTGAATTTGGCCCCATTTTATGACCTTTCTTACCACAGTTGCTAAGTGAATCACTGCAGTTGATGTTAGTAACCGGGTTGTTGAGTGATTCCAGCTTCCCCATGGACTTTGCTTGTCAGAAGGTCACAAAAGGTGATCACATGACCTCAGGACACAGCAACCGTCATAAGTATGAACCAGTTGCCAAGTATCCGAATTTGGATCACATGATCATGGGGATGCTTACAAAGGTACTTTGAAAAACAGTCATAGGTCATTTTTTTCTGTGCCGTTGTTAATCTTGAACGGTCACTAAACGAACTGTTGTAGGTCGAGGGCTACCTGTAAAAATTACACGGAGCAACTGTCAAATGCTTGCTATTTGCATTAAATCCATAGCATCTCACAAGCTACCAAAACCCCAAACCAGTAATCACTGCTTTGTATCCAGTGTAATGGCTCCAAAAGAGTAATGCCTCAACAAACGATGCAAGGGGGAAAATTACTCTGGAAGTACAAACTCTGCAGCAAAAATATTCTCCGATTTAAAAGTGTCAAGATTTTTAGCATTCTTTCTTGCTTCTTCTCCACCCCCGTTCTTCACAAATGAACTCTCCCATATCCCCCTACTTACCACAACCATCCATGCGGTCCATCTCCCGTGCGCATGCGCCAAAACGTGACGTTTCCCCCCCCTCCTCTTTTAATGCTGTCTAATGAAGTGCCTGATATTCATGTCACTAAAATAAAATCTTTTAAAAGCTCACCCCAGAGAAAAATTTAATCTTCCAAAGCCTCTTTTGCTGCGAAAACTCAAATTCTCGTTTCCTTTTGGGGTTGCTAATAAGGATGAGCACCTCTGATACTAATTCCTATCCAAACCTTCCGCGATGATACTCAAGGGGTTTGTATTTGCATAGGTCCCTTCCCATCATGCCTCCCAAAGAAAGAGAAATCAGATAATTTATTGGAAAGATTTTTTTAATGTATTTTAATACTACGATTAAAAAAACAGAGGCCACGAAGATCCTTCATGACGTAAAAAAATAATGAACATACTTACAATTTACAGCATTTCACCATAACTTTAAAGTTACAGCAATGTAAACCTTTATATACTGTACAAAACAAACTTGAATTCGTGCTCGCTTCGGCAGCACATATACTAAAATTGGAACGATACAGAGAAGATTAGCATGGCCCCTGCGCAAGGATGACACGCAAATTCGTGAAGCGTTCCATATTTTGCTTTTCTCCAAAACACCATTTTGCAATTTATCAGTTGTTATAGTCTCCCTTCTGTAAATTCCTTTTCCATCCAGCCTCTGTATGGCTCATCCTTGAACACAGTGGAGGGAGCATCTGTTATGATTATTTATTTAATTAATTTATATTGCTGCCTATTCACCCAGGGTGACTCAAGGCGGCTTACACAATGTTGTGAGAGGAGAACATGAATAAAATCCATTGTGTATTTTGTAACTGTGACTCAAACCTCAAACTGCAAGTTGATACTTTTCTACTGTACAAGGGAGAGTTGAAACGTTGAACAATCACACGTTGTGCTCTGAGAAAGTGTGTACGTGTTAGGAAGCACCTAATTTCCTGATGTGCCATATTAGGGGATGAATTGTAAACTGTAATTCAATAGGTAGATTGTAAACCAAGCCATCATAGGATGGGGCGGTAGATTAGGGTATAAAATAGAGTGCAAATTTTGCTCTGGGTTCCTCCCATCTGCCAGGGCAGGAACCCGTTTCTGCAGAAATGCTACAATAAAACTGTTTTCCTTGGATCAAGACTGAATCTTGGGTGGTCTTTCAAGCCCCCACCCCACAATGTAAAACCATATTTAAAACACACACACACAAAAAAAAAACAATAAAAAACTAACAAAAAAGAATCAAATAAATTAGTAAAGTACAATAGAACAAAATTTGGAAAAAAACAACTCCCTCCCCAGCCCACCCCAACGACAGCAGATCACACTAGCCATTTGATGGCCTCCATCCCTCTCTGGGTTCCCCAGGCCTGCTTGCAAAACCAGGTCTTCAGTGCCTTCAGGAAGAGTTCTAGAGTGGGGGCCATTCTAATCTCTGGGGGGGGATGATGTTCCAGAGAGAGAGAGAGACACCACGGAGAAGGCCCTTCTTCTGGGTCCCACCAGGTGTATCTCCCTCAGAGATGGGACCTACAACATTCCCTGCCTCCTCACTCTAATGGGTCGGGTAGATGTGACCGGCAAGAGACGTTCCCTCAGATAACCTGGACCAAAGCCACGAAGGGCTTTAAAGGTGACAACCAGCACCTTGAATTGCACCCGGACGCAAATCGGCAACCAATGCAGCTCCTGCAGGAGAGGTGACACATGTGCACACTGGGGGCTGCACAAAACCACGCGGGCCATTGCATTTTGCACCAACTGGAGCTTCCGGATGCTCTTCAAGGGCAGCCCCATGTAGAGCGCGTTGCAATAATCAAGACGGGAAATGACCAGGGCATGCGTGACCGTGAGTAGGGACTGCTGGTCCAAGAAAGGGCATAACTGGTGCACAACCCGCAGTTGTGCAAAGGCCCTCCTGGCCACGACCACCACCTGCTCTTCGAACAGGAGTCGTGAGTCCAGGAAAACTCCTAGATTACGCACAGGGTCTGTTTGGGGTAGTGCCACCCCATCCAAGACCAAAGGTGGCAATTCTCCCTGAGCCAATGAACCCCAAACCCAGAGCCACTCGCCCTTGCAAGGGTTTAGTTTCAACCTGTTGCTCCCCATCCAGCCCCTAACAGCCTCCAGGCACTGCTAGAGGGAGGACACAGCAACACTTAACTCACCACAGGCTGAGACATACAGCTGAGTATCATCAGCATATTGGTGATACCTCAGTCCATGGTGATGGATGATATAAATGTTGAACAGGAGTGGAGAGAGTACCAAGCCCTATGGAACCGCGTAAAGCAGTGGGCGAGGGCTGGATCTCTCCCCTCCTATTATGCTTTATTACGCTTTATTAGTGCAATATGAGCCTTTTAAAAACATAGTAAATATAATATGAATGCTATAATTTATATCAATATATAAGTAATTCTAATTTGTTTTTGTCCTAAACAGAGTTAAGATTACATCTTACAAGCAGCAGAATCTTACATATGTTTGTTATACGATGAAAAGGTCCAGGTACCTTTAAGAAAATATTAACCGTAATGGTAGTTATAGTAAGCGCAATGATGGTGTGATAACAATTATTTTATTTCAACAATTTTAAATTTTTAAAACTTCAGATGTGATGCAATATTGCTAATTTATGGAAAAATATCTACAGACCCCTCACATTCCGGACATAAACTGTTTCAGTTTCTCCCCTCAAGATGCAGCTATAGGGCATTGCATTCCAAAATAGCTGGACCCAAAGACCCAAAAGTGCTTTTTTTAAAAAAGGCAACTGGCTTTCATTTTTCCTTGAAGATGTTTTGCTTCTCATCCAAGAAGCTTCTTCAGTTCAGTTCCCACATTAGTGTCTTATGCCTAAGATATCTAACCATGTAATAGAATGGGATGAGAATGGAATAGAGTAGAGTAGAGTAGAGTAGAGTAGAGTAGAGTAGAGAAGAATAGAATAGAATAGAATAGAATAGAATAGAATAGAATAGAATAGAATAGAATAGAATAGAATTTCTTTATTGGCCAAGTATGGTTGGACACACAAGTAATTTGTCTATTATCCTTCTCATCTTTCCTATTACCTGCTCCTATTGGTATCTTACGACTATGTTGCTTTTATGTACACGGAGAGCTTATGCACTAGAGACAAATTCCTTGGGTGTCCAATCACACTTGGCCAATCAATAATATTCTATGTTCTATTCTAAATACATAATATAATAAGAATAGCATTAGAAATACTATTGGTTTATTATTACCATTACAACTGCATTTTTCAATCTCAGAAACTTCACCTCATTTCTAAATAGGCAGCAGCCTTTTGAATGCATATCAGGGAAACCCCCGAGACTTTTTATATGCAGCTCCATCATGTATTCACTATATAAATAGCCTACCTTTGAATTTGTAAATAGAATACAGGTAGTCCTTGGCTTACGACCACAGTTGAGCCTAACATTTGTTGCTAAGTGAGAGAGTAGTGAGTCAGTAGTTAAGTGAATGTTGCCCCATTTTGTGACGTTTCTTGCCATTGTTGGTAAGTGAAGCACTGCAGTTGTTAAGTTAGTAACATGGTCATTAAGTGAATCTGGCTTTCCCATTGACTGTGCTTGTCAGAAGGTTGCAAAAGGCGATCATATGACCACAGGACACTGCAACCGTCATAAATATGGTTCAGTTGCCATGCGTCCAAATTTTGATCATGTGACCATGGGGATGCTGCAATGGTTGTAGGTGTGAAAAATGATCATACATCACTTTTTTTCAGTGCCATTATGTCAAAAGGTCGCTAAGCAAATTGTTGTAAGCCAAGGACTATCTATTAGCTCATTGAGAATTTAGTTATGATGAACTTTTTAATATTTCTGCCATATGCTAAATAAATTCCTAAACATATTTTAGGTGTACATTTAAAACTTACATATCAGTAATCGACACAATATACACATAATACGGCAACATTAAAATGGTATAGGGTTTCCTGCCTAAGCAAGGGGTTGGACTAGAAGACCTCCAAGGTCCCTTCCAACTCACCTAATATGTAAGATGGTGTTCTGCACATAACATGAGGGAAGGGCAGTTTCATTTTTAAAAAGGATAGCTTTGGAAACCAACTTAACCATCTAAATCCATCGTTGGGTAATACCTCCAAACAAACTTGTTCACACTTTTCAGTGCCTTTTTATTGTTCTAACTCAATAATTTCATGATTCAAACAGAGCAAATTTTTCCAAACGCTTCTCACAACCTGTTTAGAGAAGCTAGTGATTTTTGTAAAAAAAAAAAAAAAAAGTTTATTGTAGGCAAAGAAAGCTGCAGAGAGCCGTTCTAGTTGCAAAAAAATATGGAACGCTTCACGAATTTGCGTGTCATCCTTGCGCAGGGGCCATGCTAATCTTCTCTGTATCGTTCCAATTTTAGTATATGTGCTGCCGAAGCGAGCACAAACTACCCTTTGCCTTGAAGAATATTTAAGGGTTATTTGTCTAGTTTTTCTCCAGTTAGGGTGATCAATGTCATAACTAGGATCGTTCTGTATTTCATATTCTAAACATTTCTTCCCATTCCAGTGTATTGCTTTCCAAACAACGGATCTACACCTTTTAAAATTAATTTTAAATACGACAGGCTTTATGGAGTTCCCCTAGTGCATGATGGGAGGCGCCTATGCAAATAAAGTCATGCTTTCCTCTGTGCCTACCCCGGACCAGGATACTCTTCCCCTTTTATTTCTTTTCTTCAATTAATACTATTTTTCTCGTGCATTCTTGATTTTTTTGGTGGAGCTGCTGAAAAGATCTAAAAAAAAAAATTTTATCCTTTCCCATTGCAGGTAGTTCTCGACTTACAACCATTCATTTAGTAACTGCTTGAAGTTACTTGAATGGCAGTGAAAAAAGTGGCATATGACCCTCTTTTTACAGTTATGACCACTGCAGGATCCCCATGGTCAAGTGGTCAAAATTTGGCCACTTGGCAATTGGCTTGTATTTATGATGGTTGCAGTTCCCAGGGTCATATTATCACCTTCTGTGACTTTCAGGCAAGTAAAATCAATGGGGAAGCCAGATCACAACAGTGTTAACTTAATAATTGTAGTGTTTCACTTAATAACTGTGGCAAGAAAGGTTGTGAAATGAGACAAAACTCACTTAAGTGTCTTGCTTAGCAACAGAAATTTCAGGCTCAACTGTGGTTGTAAGTTATGACCCTGTACAGTTTTGTCATTCTGCCTGTTTGCTTAACAAGAGGAATATTGGTATTAACTTTTTTAAGAATGGAAACAGCCACCATCTGGGTCAGTGTATAAAGAAAACACCCTGCAGAAGGCACAGCTACAATTCCTCCATGAAAGAATCAAGAAGTATAAATCTGTCCATTCCCCACCCTCCAGTCAGAACTGAAGAAGCTTCTTGGATGAGAAGCGAAACGTCATCAAAAAGAAAAAAAACCAAGAAAGTCCAGTTGCCTCCTTGGAAAAAAAAAAAAGCACCTTTGGGGCAACTTTTTAAGATGCACGGATTTCAACTCGTAGGCGTGTGCAGGGTTAACTTCTGCATTGCACCGCCTGCAAGCGAGGTAACCGTGTTCTCACGTCACTAGTTCCCCAGGCAAGCAGGCAGGCAGGCAAACAAACCGGAGAGCAGCACAACCAACAACGACACCAACCACAACAGGGACAGCAGCCTTGCAAGGCTGCAGGTTAACTCCAGGCCTGCCTCCCCTCCCCGGGCTGACGTCACTTCCTCCCGGGGTGGCTCCTAGGCTAGGTCTGTCCCGTCCTTCGGGCGTTCGGGGAGCGGAGAAAGAGAGAAGGCGGTGCAGGGGTGGGTAGGTGAGCAGGCCGGGCAGCGATGGTGGGGCTGAAAAGGGGAGCGGCTGGAGGGCTGAGGGGGAGTCAGGAGGAGGAGCTGCCTGGAGACCCCCTGGACCAGCCCTACGGGTGAGTAGGAGGAAGGCTGGAGGATTGTGGGCGCTCCACAATTGTCTTTGTGTGTGTGTCGTCCCTTTCTTGCCTTGGATTCAGATCCAGGGAAAGGAGCCCCTTCCCTCTGATAGACTGCCTTATCATCTGCAGGCGTTTGTGCTTTTAATAGCTCTGAAGTCGAGTGGGGTAGGATCTGATGGTAAAAATCCAGCCCATCCGGGATCTTGAAGGTTGGGAATGCAACAGCTGTCACCCACTGCCTTGTATTTCCTCCTAATGTGGAGGTTTTATTTAAAAAGAGTTGAGACTTAAATGACTCTCACAAATTCCTTGGCGGGTGAGTTCCACAGCTTTATTACACACAATGCTGGACCTTTTGTCACCCTGCACTTGGGACGTCTACCATCTATTAATGCTTTATCCCTTTTTGATATGTCAGTTGTCTGAAGAGGTCTGCTGAAAAAGGAGATCATTTTATTTTATGTAAGCAATAGCGTACAGAGTTTTAATGTAAGAAAAAGAAACACTGCATAATCCTATCCATAATCTGATGGTATTCTAACATTTTACCTTTTAAACTTTTTTCCACCCTTATTTTTATTCAAAGATTGAGGAAATGGTCAGCCGTCAGATGAAACAGTTTACACCCTACCTATGATGCAAACTTCCTGAGAATGATGGGTATTGTAGACTAATACAATGTATTAACTTTGGGCATAGTCCTTATTTTCCTCCTTTATCCATTTTAGGGGGAGTATTCACTATTAATTGGAAACTTTATTAATAAATAAAGAAATAAAATTTACTAGACACCCATTTTAACATAGGGTAACTGGGCAGCTTACAGTTATTTATATATATGATTTATATAGCCACTCATCTCACAGTAGCAACTCTGGGCAGCTTCCAACATTTAAAAACAATGCAAAAACATCATATAAAACACAAACAGCCCAGGAATCAAACCAATCTAGGCAAATAATAACTATAGGTTCTCCTGCTTGAGTAGGGGGCTGGACTAGAAGACCTCCAAGGTAGCTTGCAGCTCATTCTATTTTATTCTGATTTTAATAAACACTCAGGCTTCCATTCCCGCAAACACAATTCACATATTTAGAGCCTCTGTCAATCTCCCCCCCCCCCCAAAAAACCTGGTTAGTGGGAGCCAATGTAATTTTAAAGGAAGACTGGATTGCAAAATGTAAGGCTTCATTGCATATACCATAGAAAGCGATGAACCAATCAATGTAACTTGATGCCTGTTGACTCAGAAATAAAACCCACAATTTTCCTCAGTGCTTCCTCTCCAGAGTAGTCAGATTGCCACATTAACAAAATGTTTTCAAAAAAGTTTTTTTTAAAAAATTTTAACAAAACAAAATGTTTCCTTGTAGTCTGATTATTGAAGAAGCAGGTGGCTCGCACTGACCCAGATGGTGGCTGTTTCCATTCTTAAAAAAGTTAATACCAATATTCCTCTTGTTAAGCAAACAGGCAGAATGACAAAACTGTACAGGGAGGTCATAACTTACAACCACAGTTGAGCCTGAAATTTCTGTTGCTAAGCAAGACACTTAAGTGAGTTTTGTCACATTTCACAACCTTTCTTGCCACAGTTATTAAGTGAAACACTACAGTTATTAAGTTAACACGGTTGTGATCTGGCTTCCCCATTGATTTTACTTGCCTGAAAGTCACAGAAGGTGATAATGAGACCCTGGGAACTGCAACCATCATAAATACATAAATTACTAAATGAATTTTGACCACTTGACCATGGGGATCCTACAGTGGTCATAACTGTAAAAAAGAGGGTCATATGCCACTTTTTTCACTGCCATTCAAGTAACTTCAAGCAGTTACTAAATGAATGGTTGTAAGTCGAGGACTACCTGCAATGGGAAAGGATAAAGTTATTTTTTTTAGATCTTTTCAGCAGCTCCACCAAAAAGATTTCTTCTCCTGGAACTGTATCTGCCAAATTCTTTTGAGAAAATAGGAAATGTTGAAATCGGTTACTGTGAAGGGGAAAATAATTGGACATTTTTTTAGCTTCACTCCAGTCTGCCATGAGGCTTGACTTCTGGAAGATGATAAATCATAATGGAAAATTAAGTGAGGGGAAATAGACTTGCAGGATTTTTTTTCTTTTCTGTATATTTGTTTGGAAGATTAATTCCATTAGCCAGATTTTTCTGTGATAAAAGTAGACAAAAATTCACCATATCTTGAACTCGCATCTGAGGAATGGGATGAATGAGTCTGTGTATTTTTTAGGACTGCCAAATGGAAATACCTTTATGTGGGATTTCCCAAGCTTTTCTACAGTTCTAAGGCTCGCTGGAGGTCCCCCAACCTTGAGGTCCCTCAAACTTACAACCATTTGTTTAGTGACCACTCAAAGTTACAACAAAATCAATGTGGAAGCCAGGATTACTTAACTGTGTTACTAATTTAACAATTGCAGTGATTCATTTAATGGCTATAGCAAGAAAGGGCATAAAATGGGGCAAAACTCACTTAACAAATGTTTTACTTAGCAACAGAAATGTTGAAGTCAATTGTGGTTGAAAGTTGAGGACCACCTGTATAATTAGGCTTCATACAATAGCCTAGGCCCGTGATGGCAAACCTATGGCACGCAGAGCCATTTGTGCCAGCATGCAACTGCAGGCAAACTTACCTCATTGCGCATGCACGCTCCTCACAGCTGATTTACAGCCGGCTTGAGGCCTTTTTCGGCCTCCCAGGGGCTTCAGGAAGGCTTCTGCAGGCTTTTCAGGCCAAAAACTAGGCCCGTTTTGTCACTTCCTGTTTTTCCAGAAATACTGGAAGTGATGAAACGGACCTAGTTTTTGGCCTGAAGAGCCTGCAGAAGCCTTCCTGAAGCCTCTGGGAGGGCAAAAAACACCTCAAACCGGCCGAAAATCAGCTGTGAGGCACAGTGCAGGTAAAGGAGCGGCAGGGGTATGTGGTCGGGTGGGTGGGGATTGTGTGTGCATGCGTAGGAGTCGGGCGCGCATTGTATTCTGAGTGCTGGCACGCAAGCGTGCAAGTGCACACACAATTTTTAGCACAGGAGCCCAAAAAGATTAGCCACCACTGGCCTAGGCCATCTTTTGTAGCCCTGGGATTGATTGAATTGGCAGTACGTAGGAAAGATTGAGAGCCATGGTGGCGCAGTGGTTAGAGTGCAGTGCTGCAGGCTACGTTTGCTGACTGCTGGCTTCCTGCAATTTGGCACATCAAATCTGATCAGGCTCAAGGTTGACTCAGCCTTCCATCTTCCAAGGTGGGTAAAACTAGGACCCAAATTGTTGGGGGCAATATGCAGACTCTGTAAACTGCTTAGAAAGGGCTGCAAGCACTGTAAAGTGGTGTATAAGTCTAAGTGCTATTGCTATTGCTAGTTCATTGTTATCCTTTGGAAGAATCCAGCAACCAGCAGTTGCAAGATTAAAAAATAGGCATGGAAAATGTGTATAGATATAAGCATTGTTCGTAACAGCTCAGTAGATCCTCCATGTTTAAGAGCAGCCTACTTCAAAAAACTATATGCTAGGAGAATGGCAGGAGAGTCCTACAGCTTCTCTCGTTTTTCCTGGCAATTGATGAAAATTGCTTAGATCCAGCTGGGATTGTTATTTATTTGTTTGTTTACAATTAGCTGTGCTGGCCCTTGAAGTATTTGCAAAAAGAGAAGATAAAGAGTCTATAAAGAGTTTGATTTGGGTGTGTGTGTGTAATTTTATCTCTTGCAGAAGGATTGAAGATTGCTTGCCCCCTCTGGCCACCCCTTCTGCCAAGAGGTTTTCTCCAGCCAAACGGAAGCAATATTACATTGACCAAGCCATCCGCAACTCGGATCTCATTCCCAAGGCAAAAGGGAAGAAGAGCCTTCAGCGCCTGGAGAACAGTAAGTGGTTGGTCGGCAGGCTTAGAAACCCTTTGGTAGCTAGCTGTTACCTTTTAAATTGATCAAAATCCAGAGCAGCCTTTTCCATCTCAATGCAATTCAAAGGTTTGAACTATTAACTTGTATCGACCACAATTACGCTGACTAGGAATTCTGATAGTTTTGGCCCCAGCACTTTTAGAACTATTCAGTTATAAAAGTAGCTCAGATCTTTCCAAACTTTTTCCTTCATTGCCCAAAACTGCTTTTATCAAAAAGTCTTATTGAAGTTTGAGGATAGGTAGTAGGTCTTTCCCTTCAGTACTGTCATAATGTCTAATAGTTGCTGAATGAATGGTTGTAATTTGAGGATTATCTATGTTATGAAAATGATATCATTAAATGCTCTTTATGTCATTTCAACCAATTTCCATCTTAGGAGAAGTACTCTGGCAGACTTTCAGATATATTTTCGTACTCTTTAAGTCTCTGTTGTGATGGTTAATGAGTTTGTGCATCATTACTCAAAGAAGAACCACTTTTACCCAATTTTGGATAATTGATCATTGGTGGATAGCTCTTCATTCAAAGGTTGTTATCTTACAGACTAATTGGGACTAACTGTTTTCTTATTTTTATATTAAACATAAAGTTTGGACAGCCATTTGTCTAGAAGGGTATGAGGATGAGGTATTGAAGATCTCTAAGGTTCCTTCCTTCCCTATGATTCTATGCCTGAATAGTCCAACCATGTAGCTATTAGGGCCAATCTGGCTTGGTGCTGCCTGAGGCATGGAGGAATTAATTGATCATTGAGAACCAGGCTAATGTGATGATGAAGATGCTGAACTAGGCATCAAGAGAGCTGGGTTTTAATCCTACTTCAGCCACAGAAACTGTTTTGCTCACTTTGGGCCAGTCCCTCCTTAGCCCAACCTATCTCAGGGTTGTTATTGGGAAAAATAGGAAAAAAAGAGCACTGTGTGAGGAGTCTTAAATTTCTGTACAAAAAGGGAGATAGGAAACTATAGTATATATGAAACTACAACTATAATACAGGTAGTCTTCAGCTTACAACTATTCATTTATCAGCTGTTCAAAGTGGCAAGAGAGGTGAAAAAAAAAGGTAAATTACAACTGGTGGTCCTTGCCCTTGCAAGCTTCACAGCATCCCCCAAAGTGATGTGATCAAAATTTGGGCATTTGGAAACTGGCAAGTATTTATAATGGTTGCAACATCCCAGCGTCATGTGATTGCCATTGGAGACCTTCCCAGCAGCTTCCAGTTGTGGAAGAACCCAGATTTGCTTAATGATTCACTTAACAACTGCAGTGATTTGTTTAAGAACCATAGCAAAAAAAGGCCATAAAATCAGGTGTGATTCACTTAACAACTGCCTTGCTTAGCAATTGTGGTTGTAAGTGAAGGATTACCTCTAGTTAAACAGTGCTGGCAGCATGATGTTGAATGTGCCATGGTGCCCACTGATGTCCCTGAAAGGCTCACTACGGGTGGTCCTCGACTTATGACCACAATTGAGCCCAAAATGTATGTTGTTCAGTGAGAATTTGTTAAGCAGGCTTTGCCCCATTTTACGACATATCTTGCCACAGTTGTTAAGTGAATCATCGTAGTCGATAAGTTAGTAACCTAATTGTTAGGTGAATCTGGCTTCCCCAAAGACTTTGCTTGTCAGAAGGTTGCAAATAGTGACCACATGACTCCGGGACACTGCAACAGTCATAAGTATGAACTAGTTGCCAAGCATTGGAATTTTGATCACTTGGCCAATGGGGATGCTTCAAAGGTTGCAAATGTGAAAAATGGTCATAAATCCCTTTTTTCAGTGCCATTGTAACTTTGAACAGTCACTAAATAAACTGTTGTAAGTTGAGAATTGCTTTGTATTAAGGTACCTGCACGAAGCTTCATATTGCATTATTTTGTGCATTTCTAGCACGCTACCTAATGACCCTCCTTGAGCGGGATGATTGCGCCAGTGAAGATGGAGATCTTGCCCATCCTGCCTCCCCCAGCATTTTTACTGAGGCCTGCAGAAATGAGACTTATATGAAGGTAGGGCTCTGTTTTGTTTTGTTTTCTCTACCTGATTCCTCTCCCTTGGAAACAGCATCTCTCTCCAAGCCCAATTTTGCATTTTCTGTTCTTAAGTGACATCACTGGATGGCGATATGGTAGAGGTTGAAATATAGCCTTCAGGTGAGGATTGAATCAGGAAACATAAGGAACCCGCCCCTAACGTGATGGTATGAGAATAAAATGAAAATGTGACAATATTATGCATGTCAAATCATGTCTTTATTACAAAGGATTATAGGTTTACAAAGGGATGCGGTGGCTCAGTGGCTAAGACGCCGAGCTTGTCGATCAGAAAGGTCGGTGGTTTGAATCCCTAGCGCCGTGTAATGGAGTGAGCTCCCGTTACTTGTCCCAGCTTCTGCCGACCTAGCAGTTCGAAAGCATGTAAAAATGCAAGTAGAAAAATAGGGACCACCTTGGTGGGAAAGTAACAGCGTTCCAGGTGCCTTCGGCGTTTAGTCATGACCACGGAGATGTCTTCGGAGAGCGCTGGCTCTCTGCTTAGAAATGGAGATGAGTACCGCTCCCTAGAGCCAGAAACGATAGCACATATGTGCGAGGGGTACCTTTACCTTATAGGTTTATGGGTGAGTCATGCTTTCACAGGGAAGCTGCTGTCCACTGTAACTTCTGCTGCTAGAGGTAAGCCGTTGGGATAAAAGAGAATTGGAGTGGAGTGGACCAAGCTTTGGTTCTCCCCCCCCCCCAAAAAAAAAAACTAATGTTTTTCCCCTAACACGGGAAAAAGCTGTATACAATAAAGAAAAAGTTGTATGGACTGTGGAGCTGTACCGTTTCCTCTTTCACTGAAAGCAAGATAGAACATAGAATCATAGGGCTGGAAGGGAACTTGCTGATCTTATAGTCCAACCCGAGACCTTATATCAGGGGGTCCCCAAATTTGGCAACTAAGAATTCTGGGAGTTGAAGTCCACAAGTCTTATCGTTTCCAAGTTTGGAGACATTTGCCTTATATCATCCCATTAACCCTAACCCTAACCCAGTCAAATGGATGTTCAGTCTTATTTGAAAACCTCCAGTGAGAGAGTGCTCATAACTTTGGGAGGCAAGCTATTCCACTGATTAAATTGTTCTAACTGTCAGAAAATTGCTCCTTACTTCTAGGTTGGGTCTCTTTTTAACAAGCTTCCATCCATTACTTCTTGTCCTGCAATTTGATGCTTTGGAGAATAAGTCAATCCTCTCTTCTCTGCGACAGCAGAGTTCTGGATTTTTCTGCTCTGGGTTCTGCCCCTACTTTTGACCTACTCTAGCCAAATGTCTGGCCCTAATGTCTAGCAAAAGCAGAAATTGAAACCCATCTGGAAGGCACCTGGTTGGGGGAAGCCTGGGGTAATTAGCTAGTTTTGATTTCTGTTCCTCAAAGAGGAATTGAGTGGCAGCCCTCTAAGAATGGTAGTTTTTTAAATTAACGTTTAAATTAAAAAGGGAGTGTTATCCAGGACGGCAGCTTGTGCTGGGGATGTCCTGAAGTGGTGCACCCACAACTTGGTGATGTAATGTGTAAGGAATGAGCATGATAGAAGGGCGTGTCGTATGGGGAAAGATAATGGAAGAAATATTACAGGATAAAGTGTTGCTTAGTCACACTTCAGGCATTCTTACTGTGCAGTACTTGGGTGGTGTTAGGTTTTCTTAACATGCCATGGAAACGAAAGTCTTTGTGCAAACCTGGGCATTGAACGACTGGCAATGTTTAGGGTTGTGATTTGGAAGGTGATGTAAGAAAACTGACACTCCCTGCTAAGACAATGAGGAACAAAGTTGAAGAAGCATGATTCAGTCAGAGAGGAAGAGTGGTGTAGCAGTTAGGATGTTCACCTCTCGGCAGTGTGACCTGGTTTTGCAGCTACTGCATTCTCTACCAACCCAAAGTTATCCCGTGGAATTTCTCACAGAGTTGTTGTGAAATAAAACTGAAAGAATCATAGGGTTGGAATGGAAGTTGAAGATCTTCTAGTCTGGCCCAGGAATCCTCAAACCCTCCAGGCAAAAGGCAGCCCAACCTTTGCTTGAAAACTTCCAGTAATGGCATCTCCATGAGTCCAGGAGCAGGCTTGTCCCAGTGCCCAATAGAGCTCATGAACAAGAAATTCCTCCTTAGCTTGAGTTTGGATCTCCCTGTTTTGAAATCTCCACGTCTTAATTCTTCTCTAACTTTTAGGAGTTATAGAGAATTAATCCCCACCCTCTTCCCTGGCACAGCCGTTCAAGTACAGGTAATCTACAACTTATGATCGGTCACTTAGGAACTGTTCAAAGTTATGACAGATCGCCCTAGGGATACTTATGACTCTTCTTCCAAAGTTATGTCAGCTCCCTCCCTCCCCCTATCACAATCACAATCATTTTGGACACTCAGCAACCATCCCTCATTTACAGCTATTCGCGTGACCACATTGTATGTTTTTGTCAAAATCTAGCATGTACTTCTGTTTTTTGGTAAAACTGGCCAAAAGCAAACAATTGGTTCACTTAATGACTGTGGCATTCGCTTTACGACTGGCCACCAAAAAATACAAATTCAAGTTGGTCAAGCAGGCTCTATTACGGCCGTAAGTTGAAGACTACCTATATTGGAAGACTACTGCCATGTCTCCCCTTGGTCGTCTCTTCTTTTGGTTTATCGTACCTAGATCCTTTGACAGCTGTTCATAGGATTTAGTCTTCAACAGTCTCACCCTCTTTGTTACTTCTAGTTCCTCCACATCCTTCTTCCATTTTAGGTCAAGTAGAACTGGATCCAATACTATGAGTATTGTCTTCACTGTCTTTTGTACCTAGGGAAAGCACAGAATATACAGTAAATATACAAGGACATTTCCACCCCTCATGCCATCACTCTGCTAAACAACTAATTCCCACAACACTGTCAAACTATTTAGTAAGACTGTATTAATATTATTTTCATCTTTTTTATTACCTATATCCTTTTCTATTTATGATTATAACTTTGTTCCTTGTATCTTTATGTTTTGTATTGTTTTATTTAGTTTCCTCGTACGATTTTTGTTGATTCTATCACTAAGTGTTGTATCTTATGATTTATGAAGAGTGTATTTTTATGATAACTATGGTCATGATTTATCACTTATAGCTTTTACGTACAATGAGAGCTTATGCACTGAAGACAAATTCCTTATATGTTCAATCACACTTGGCCAATAAAGAATTCTATTCTATTCTATTCTATTTTCACAAGAGGAAGCCTACAGAAAAGGTGATAGAATGTTATACAACCAGGCCAGAAACATATTAACAAGAGAGATCAGAGCAGCAAAAAGAAGCTACTCTGAAAAGTTAAGGAATCAGTTCTCAACAAATGAACCAGCAAACATGTGGAAAACTCTTAAAAACATCACTGGCTTCAGCAAACCTCCTTCCCAGGCAGAAGGAAATCAACAACTAGCAGATCACTAGCAGTGTTTTACTGCAGGTTTGAAAGGAAATTACAGCCACCTGTCTCCACAACCCACATCTCAAACACACCAACAACAGCCAAGCCTCCTACAACTGGCCCCAGTCCATTGGGTTCACAACCTCTGGTGATCACAGAAAAAAAAGTGCAAGATCTATTACACAGACAAAAGCCAGGAAATACACCAGGGCCAGACAAGATAACTCCTTCTTGCTTAAAAGTCTGTGCTGACCAATTGGCCCCCATCTTCACCCGAATCTTCAATAGATCACTAGAGATGTGCTATGTTTCTTCCTGCTTCAAACTCTCTACTATCATCCCAGTGTGAAAGAAGCCCTCCATCAAGGAACTGAATGACTCCAGACCAGTTGCTATAACATCTGTAGTTATGAAAATCTTTGAAAGGCTTGTGCTGACCCATCTGAAAACCATCACCGATCCGCTGTTAGATCCCATGCAGTTTGCATACCGAACAAATATGATGATGCTGTTAACATGGCTCTGCATTACATCCTACAACACCTTGAATCTCCAAATACCTACGCAAGGGTCCTCTTTGTAGAGTTCAGTTCAGCATTCAATACCATCATTCCAGACACTCTTCCAAGTAAATTAAACCAACTAGCGGTACCTGAACACACTTGTAAGTGGATCATAACCTTCCTAACAGACTGGAAGCAGCAGGTGAAACTAGGCAGAATCACATCCAATACCTGTGCAATCATCACAGGGCCCCCCCAAGGCTGTGTGCTATCTCCACTTCTCCCTATATACCAATGACTGCATCTCAAACGATCCATCTGTTAAAATATTGAAGTTTGCTGATGACACAACAGTGATTGGTCTCATTCGAGACAACGACAAATCCGCATACAGACAGGAGGTTATACAACTTGCCTCATGGTGTAACCGGAACAATCTGGAACTGAACACACTCAAAACCGTAGAAATGGTGGTAGACTAGAAGAAACCCTCCCATACTACCACCTCTTAAATACTGGACAACACCGTATCAACAGTAGAGACCTTCAAATTTCTAGGTTCTACTATATCACATGACCTAAAATGGACACCTAACATCAAAAACGTCATCAGAAAAACACAACAAGGAATGTTCTTTTTGCACCAACTCAGGAAGCTCAAACTGCCCAAGGAACTGCTGATCCAGTTCTACAGAGGAATGATTGAGTCTGTCATCTGCACCTCTGTAACTGTCTGGTTTGGTTCTGCAACCCAACAGGACAGACACAGACTTCAGAGAATAATTAGGACTGCAGAAAAAACAATTACTACAAACCTGCCTTCAATCAAGGACCTGTATACTGCACGAGTCAAAAAGAGGGCTGTGAAAATATTTACAGACCCCTCACATCCTGGACATAAACTGTTTCAACTCCTTCCCTCAAAACGACGCTATAAAGCACTGCACACCAGAACAACTAGGCACAAGAACAGTTTTTCCCTGAAAGCCATCACTCTGCTAAACAAATAATTCCCTCAACCCTGTTCAACTGTTACAAAGTCTGCACCACTATTATTGTTAATCTTGTCATCACTCCTTCCCACCCATCCCCTCCCACTTGTGACTGTATGACTGTAACTTTGTCGCTTGTATCGTTACGATTTATATTGACTGTTCCCTAGTATGATTGATTGCTTATTGTACCCTATGACTATCATTAAGTGTCATACCCTATGATTCTCAACTCCTGATGAATGTATCTTTTCTTTTATGTATACTGAGAGTATTTACACCAAGACACATTCCTTGTTTGTCCAATCACATTTGGCTAATAAATAATTCTGCTCTACTCTACTCTACTCTACTCTATTCATTAATAGTAATGAAGATTAGAAAAGAGATACAATCCTTCAGGGCTAGCCTAAATATATTTTCTAGCTTGGCAAATTTCAAATAAACTCAACAAAGAGAAGAGCAGTCTAGAATTGTGTGTCTTTTATCAAAGGAGAAGCTATAGGGTGGCAAAGGCTAAGAAACTCCCTCTCTCAAAATATCAGTTTAACTCTCAGTATATATAAGGCTTAAACAAGGATTTCTTCAAACTCGGTTTATTGACCAAATCAGCTAAGTTTACATCAAGACATAAATCTTAATAAATCAGAACTGAGAAAATATTTTGGGCTTAATGTGGTACAGTATGTTAGTTTGCATGTATTTATGGTGCTTAGTCAGCTGTGAGTTAGTAAACACATATCATAAATAGAGTCTGTTAAAAACTTCCCTTTGAAAGGAAAACGTTCCACCCTTTCCATTTATCTTACCTCCATTAAAAGGCATCCCTTGCTGGAGCTGTCAATTAAGTGGTTGATGCATGCAGCCCTGTGTGAACCAGAGCTAAGTTTGCTTTGTTTACTGCAAATGGCAAAGGAGAGGAATTGGAAATGGATTTATATTATCATTTATATGTCTCTTAGATCTGGAATGATTTCATGAACCGGTCCGGGGAAGAACAAGAGAGAGTCCTTTTGTATTTAGAAGAGGAGGCTTCCAAAAAACCGAAAAACAAATTTCCTGATAAAGCGGAAGTCAAGTGGAAAGGTATGGAAAAGAGAGTGCAAGGACATTATTTTTGAACTATTTTTTTTTAACTATTACCATCTGGCAGACAGTACAGAATAATAAACAAGGACAAATAGGCTGAAAAAAGCTTCTATCCCAGGGCAGTAGCTCTTTTGAATTCTGCTGTATAGTGCAGTGTTGGTGTGGTGTTGGGGGTTTCCGGTTCAGTGTGTGGAGGGTGAAGGACGTGTGTTTGTGTTTATTTTCATGCTCATGGTCATGATGTGCACTGAAGATGGTGTTTGATTTTGTTGTACGAGGTGCAATGACAATAAAGTAAACTAATTATGGGCAAAAAGAAGTCTCTGTCTTCCTTCAGTATAGTTTAAATCAGGGGTGTTAAACTCACGGCGGCATTACGTGAAGTATCAGGACTTTTTTCTCCCATTACTAAACCAGGCGGGGGCATGGCCAGCACATGACGCCTCCTTGGGCCATGAGTTTGATAGCCCTGGTTTAACACATCAGGCATAAATCAGGGAATTTGAACAGGAGGAAGAGAAGGCCTTTTGTCCTGCTGGTTAAGAATAGCAATAGCACTTAGACTTACCATATTTTTCGGAGTATAAGACACACTTTTTCCACCCCCAAAAGTGGGTGGAAATGTCTGTGCATCTTATACAGCTGGCCCCCACCCTTTGGCCTCTGCCTCCCAGCAATTTGCCTCCTTGCAGCAAACAGCCTGGTCAGCTTCAGCATAGCCTGATTAGCAGAAGCAGCTGATTGTCAGTTGGATAGGCCTCCCGACTGTCAGCTGTTTCAGGCTGCAGGGATTGCCATTGTCTATTGCTGCCTCCGTGCGCCCCATTTTCAGCCTCCAAGCGCCCCATTTTCCTCCCTGCCACCTGGAACAGGCGGAAAACGGGGCATGCGGAGGCAGAAAACGGGGCATGCGGAGGCCAAAAATGGGGGGCACAGAGGCAGCAATAGGCTATGGCAATGCCTGCAGCCTGAAACAGCTGATCCTGGGATCTAATTGAAGCTGAAATTGAAACAGGCTGTTTGCTACAAGGAGGAGGCAGATTTGCTGGGAGGCAGATTTTTTTTTTCTTGTTTTCCTCCCCAAAAGCTAGATGTGTTTTACATTTCGGAGTATCTTATACTCTGAAAAATACAGTATATACCATAGTGCTTTACAGTCCTCTCTTAAGCGATTTACAAAGTCAGGATTTGGACCACAACAATCTGGATCCTTGTTTTACCAACCTTCGATGGTTTGGAAGGCTGAGTCAACTTTGAGCCGGCCAGGATCAAACTCCTTGGCACTGAGAATGCAGAGTTAGCCTACAATACTACGTTCTAACCATTGCGCCACCATGGCTCTTTATAAATGGAACCTCCATATCCAAGACCAGTTTACCGTGAAAATCAATCCAACACTAAGAAAACTTGTAGGCTTCCAAAATGTATTGGCTTTGCCCTGCAGGAATGAGATATTCTTCCAGGATTATTTGGTGTATTTTTGGTTACATTTTTTTTTCTGTCTCTTTTCTTCCCTACGGTTACAGAGCATCCTCCATTCACACCCAAAGACTGTTTTCAGCGCATCAGCCGACGCTTACGAACCACCCTGAAACGAAGTCGGATTCCCATGGTACGTTCTATAGGCAGCAACAGAAGCGGTTTATACTGGTAGTCCTCCACTTATGACTGGCTGCTTAGCGATTACTCACAGTTCCAACAGGCTCCTTTTGTCCTGGATTCAGAGCTGCCACCCCACTGTCACACGAATGCATTTTGAATGCCCAGCAACTGGCCTGCATTTATGGCCATTTGCCACATCCCAGGGCAGCTGTTGGAGGTCTGAATCCAGGACAAAAAGAGCCTATTGGAACGGTGTGGTCAAAGTCCACCCATCTTTTAAGTCGTCACAGCTAAAAAACATTGATGTGGATTTTCCCTGTTGCAGATTGAAAGATGCAGCTTGTTGTTTACTTTGCAGGAAACCCTGGAAGGCTTGGAGGAAGAGTTGCTGGCCTTTTTCTCCACTAACCCTCAAGCTGTCTACACAGCTATGATGGACAATAGGTAACTATTGCTGACTGCTATTCTCAGCAGTGACTTTATTTGGCACGCAAAGCTTGACCAGACCATCAACTAGTGTGTGTATTTTGAATGTTGAAAGCCTGTTAGGATGTTCTCCTCAAATGGCTGCCATGGGAGTTTACAAAATGGCAGCTGAGATGGGCTTAATCAGTCACCAAGGCCTCCTCTGATACCAAGAGGCCTCCTCTGATGCTCATTATCTCTCCAACTTCTTTTTCTTTTCATTTATCTTCTTTCTCTTTTTATTTTCTGGGCAATTCTTTAGCAGACCACTCTGTTCCTTTTAGTTACTGAACCTGCCTATGGAATTTAGATACTTTTTAATATATAAATGAAGATGTTGCTCAAGGCCTAGCTCCTCATTTTGTGAGAGGCAAGCTTCTCATTTCCTTTTTAAGTTAAAATAATTTATGATAATGATAGTAGTAGTAATTAGGTAAGGATGAGTAGGAAGCCTGCTGAGTGCCAAGGGAACTACCCAGAATCACTATAGTTTTCCCTCAAGCTAAACAGCACTTAGGAAAACACCTCAAAACAAAGTCACTCATTTCTTCTGGAGCGTTGAAAGTTGAGATTTTTCTCATTTTCCAACTGTTTTGATCCAATTTTCAAACTATGCTGCCTTGGATTTATCTGTGGCCAATTTGATACCCTCCTTTTTAAATTACAAAAAAAATTGGAGGCTTTTTCTGCAAAATCAAGATAGGAATGGGATGAAAAGAGTCAAGTTAGTGATTCTAAGGCAGGGGTCTTCATACTTGACAGCTTTAAGACTTGTGGACTTCAACTCCCAGAATTCCTCCTCCAGTCATGTTAGCTCAGGAATTCTGGGAGTTGAAGTCCACAAGTCTTAAATTGGCCAAGTTTGAAGACCCTTGTTCTAAGGCATATTAAAAAGGGGTGGGATTTCAATTACAGTCTGGGTTGCCATTTTTTGACCACTGTTGCCACAGCCTTTCCTGGAAACCAGTTGCTTTGAATAACTGTGCTAGCCCGAGTTTTCTAGCCACCCTAATAGAACTAAGAGAGTTTTCTGAAACAAACCCAACAGATACTTGAGACTGAACATTTAAGAAAAAAACATCATCTGTTGTGAGGTGGTTTTCATGTAAGAAATCTCTTTTGACTCTAAGCAATAAAGGATAATTGAACCAAAACCTATAGTATGCTGAACTCTCTGGCATCTTTGAAACTTGGTTTCAAAATTCATCCAGCGTGGTAACAAGGCTAGGTGTCTTAAGAGGCATATTAATGTATTTTGTAGCATTTCTAGCACGTAACATGACCCCATAATCTGTATTAAAATATGGTGATTTGCCCATGGCTATGTTTTGAGGCTGGCAGTGGTAAGAATGGGAAATGGGCTTGCCCCCACTTATCTACAAATAGTCCGTGACTTACAATCATTCACTTAAACAACCACTCAAAGTTACAACAGTGCTGTAAAAATAATAATAATAATAACTTGCCACCGGTCCTTGCACTTACACCTATTTCAGCATCCTCACAGTCATGTAATCCAAATTTGGCAACTGGCACGTATTTATGATGGTTGCAGCGTCCCAGGGTTGTGTGATTGCCTTTTGCCACCTTCTGAGCCAGCTTCCAAAAAGCAACGGGGGAAGGTGGAATTCACTTAACAACTCTGGAATTCACTTAACTGCTCTGATTCACTTAGCAATCATGGCAAAAGTCATAAAACTGGGCACGACACACTTAACAACCATCTGCTTTAGCAATGGAAATTCTGACCCCGATTGTGGTTGTTGAGGACTCCTGTAGTGCCTCTAGTGAGGGACATCTGAACCTGTTTTTACACTACCGTTAGCTCCTGTCTTGAAGCGGCCAATGTTTTGTAATCAAGGTGGGTTTTTTTTTTTAACTTCCTAAGTGCTTTGAGGGATGGTGGGGGACTGACAGCAAGAGAAAAAGATTACCAGAATAGCAAGAGTTGGATGGGAGCTTGGAGGTCTTCTAATCCAACCCCTGCTCAAATAGGAAACCCCATACCATTTTAAACAAATGGCTGTCCAATCTCTTTTTAAAAACCTCCAGTGATGGAGCACCCATAACTTCTAGAGGCAAGCCATTCCATTGATTAATTATTCTGTCAGGAAGTGTCTCCTTAGTGCTAGAGGAGGCCCACCCCCAAACTTGTAGTCCACTGGTTGTTTCTGCTTTTTAGAACACTTAGGGCAAGGCTTTTCAAACTTGGCAAGTTTAAGACTTGTGGACTTCAACTCCCAGAATTCCTGAGCTAACATGACTGGAGGAGGAATTCTGGGAGTTGAAGTCCACAAGTCTTAAAGCTGTCAAGTTTGAAGACCCCTGACTTAGGGGATGTTTTGATGTATGAAATAACCAGGTGAGGCCTCACAGCTGGTTGACAACTTAACACTTTTCACTTCCAAGGGGAAAAAATGGCCTTGTTGAAAACTGATATGATCTGGGAGAGCACCTAAAGGCCATATACAACATCCCTACAATGTGGTTGGCATGTTACACAGATATTTTTAAAAACAATGAAACAGCTTATTAAGTAGCTGAGGTACTAAAGTATAAAAAAGATAGAAAATGTAATTCCCGGCATCATTTCTCTTGCTGTCTCTCTCTTTTTTCTTTTTTCAGTTTATACTGTTCTTCTACCACTATCTCTTTTTAGGAATCTTAGAGCAAAACGAGACTGTGATGTTAAGAGCCTATCCAACATTCATTCATTCATTCATAGCTGATCTCCTGGTTTGTTTGTTTTTGCCATTCTCACCAAAAATTCCCCTGTTCATAGAATAAGAGAAGCCAGCGGGCAAATGCTATGCTCAAGCCTTTTCTGGTGATTGCTTTCTCTAGAAAATAGCAATATCCATAGTAATAGCACTATTATATACCACTTCACAATGTTTCACAACTCTCTCTAAGCGTTTACAAAGTTAGCATATTGCCCCCAACAATTTGGGTCCTAATTTTATCGGCCTTGGAAGGATGAAAGGCTGAGTCAACCTTGAGCCCATCAGCATCGAACTCCTGGCAATAGGCAGAGTCAGCCTCTAATACTGCATTGTAACCACTGCACCAAGACGACAAGCTTCCAAGTCTGTGCAGGCATTACCCGAACAGTTTCATTCTTGTGAAGGCTGAATTGTATTAGCCAAATCACAATGCATTGGCAGGCAAGAGATAGAGCAAGTTTGAGACTGAGCAGTAGTATTAATCAGCTAGCTCTGTGACAGCTAAGGTGGCCTTGTCCAGCTATTTTAGACTCTTATCTGCAATTGCTCTCTATCCTTTATATTGGCTGGGAATGAGAGAGATAAAGTACAAACCATTTTGAGCATTAGATCACCTTTTCAAAGGCTACAACTGGGGTGCCAGGCTGATCTGTTTCTTCCTATTCTAGTCAACAAATGCTACTTCCCTAGGCAACTGTCAGGTGCTTTACAGCAATCTTTTTCAACCATGGCGACCTTTAACCTCTACTCAGCTGGAGAATTCTGGGAGTTGAAGTCCGTAAATGTTAAAAGTTGCCAACCTTGAAACTTTTAACGCATTCTTCTACATCTGTCCCAAAGATACTGCCTTAGAGTTAGAATTAACTCCACTACCGGTGATAATTATTATAGAAATTTTGAATGGGTATTTATCTAGGGCAGTGGTTCTCAACTTTCTCTTCACCACGGACCTGCTTTAAATACCTTCTGTGGTCATGGATCCCCAAGATTTAACTCAAGATTTAAAGCACTATCAAATATTCGTAGATCCCCTGTGACAACATTGCAGGCCCCCAGGGCCCCACGGATCAGAGTCTGAGAATCACTGTTCTAGGTAGCCTCTTAAAGTGGGTAAAGTTTGATGCACTGTTATATTTTTTTCACCTGGTCTGATCCTTCTGGGGAAGAGAGTCCTTTGCCATATCCATGGCTTCCCAGATAAATGGGCTTCATGTGCAAATAAGATGAAAGCTATCAGAAGGGGTTTCCCCTCCACGGATTCCTAAGTGGACTTGTTAAATGCCATTTTCTCTCTCTCTTGCAGCTTTGAACGGCTGCTGCTTCATGCCCTCTGCCAGTACATGGACCTCGTCTCTGCCAGTGAGTAACTACATTCTAATATACATGTGTATTTATATATATACATATATACAGTATTTTAAGCTTACTTGCTGTTGGGTTTACTGCTATCTCTCCCAACCAGTAAGGGCTAGGCCACAAGAAGCTGCCTCCCAGTTCACAATCTATCCTTCCAGGCAGACAGTTAATCGGGCCATTTTTGAATACCCATTTAAAGGGACAGTGCACAAGTTTAGTAAGAAGATTCTCAAATTCTTGATTAAAATTGTAGCAAAAATACAATAGTTCCAATATAGCTTCTAGATAGGCTTGGCTATCTAGTGAATGCCTCCATAAATATAAAGAGCAGAATTTCAAAATGAATAAAGCAAAGCGCAACTTCATGGAAGAACTTTAAAAAACTGGTACCTGTCATAAATTGGAGATATCATCTTGGAAGCAGCATGACCTTCTTCCAATATATTTTTGTTTAGTTTTGAAAATTTACATGCTGTCCTATTGTTTTATAATTCCTGGGGCACTTTCTATCAAAGATGCTGGTCGGAAGCAGAGATAAGCATTCCCTTTCTGCAGCCACAAAAGATACAGATGTTTAACGGGGTGTGTAATCAATGGGGGTCCACTGAGGAAGACTATGAAAATCATATGTGTGGATGTGTGGTGTATTGCAAGCTGTTGTGGATATTTTGGACCAGATCTGCCTCAAGGGATGCTAGCAGTGAGTGGTAACGTTCAAAAGCAGGGATCTTCAAGTAATAGGGCAGATCCAGGTTACATTGGCCTCCTTAAAGTTGTGTCCATCTTGACAAATTTACATGGTACGCTAGACTGCTTATTGGGTGTGCTTATTGGCTTATTGGCTGTTAGACAACTAATGCTGAAAAGAGAGGATCAGTTTTACGCCCAGTTTAAGAGTTTTATGAAATTTTGCTATGTTGTCCAGCTCAACCTTCAATGTTAAAAAAGGAAGGTAACAGAGAATTACGTTTTTCTGGTCACCTGCAGATTTTCTGTAGCCAGAGCATATGGATGATTAAGTTGCCAATGTGTGGCCAGTACACTGCAGATAATATTTTAAGCCTCCCCTCACTTAGGCACTGTTATTTTTTTTTCCTTCCCTACCCCGTGTATGGATAAGAAAGATAACTTTCTCCCACAACCTGTCTGCAGTGGCTGCAATTTCAACTGAGCCATTGCAGATTTTATGTTTTTTTCTACATAGTTATTTTTTTTAAATAAAATTTTTATTGGTTTTTAAAAACAAACATAAACAAACAAAACATCAAAACATCAAGCTGTCTTCCATAGGTGTACATACAGTGTGCCGGTTGGTTTACAAATTGTTTTGTGCTTGCATTTCGTAGCCTTCAATTACAATTATATTACATATAATCTCATATTATCAATCGAAAACTAAATACCTTAGTATCATTATTAATCAATCATTTGACTATACTTTTATTCATTCATATTTTACAAGATAACCATAATTTACTTAATTTATTGTATAACAGTTCATATTATCACCCCAAATCTATCCTAAAATCATTTTGTAGTTATAATAAGAAAAAAAAGTACATCTTTATATATTTATTATTTTCTAGAAATCTACATATTTCATTACTGTACTTTGTTATCTAACCATTGATAGAAAAGATCCCAAATTTTATAAAATTGTTTATTCTCTTGTTCTCTAATTTCAAATGTCAATCTACTCATTTCAGCACATTCCAATATTTTCTTAATGATTTCCTCCTGTGATGGTGTTTTCTCATTTTTCCAATTTTTAGCAAATACAATCCTAGCCGCTGTTAATACATTTACAATCAGGTATTTCAACATAGTTATTTTTTTTTTTAAAGAACAATTACTCAGCCTTTGGAAAGAAAGGTAGAGGGCTGCCAGAAACTGCTACTCATTTCCCGTGCAAATGGTTATTGATTGTCTGCTGTAGCTTCACCAGCTATGTAATCAGCCTGGATAGTAACAGACTTGGTCACTGTTAGCATGTAAAAGAGCCTTTGAGAGTAGAGAAAAGACTTGGCACTATAAGTCACATCAGGATACCCTTGGGGGTGTCACAATTTGCAAGATGACAAGCAAAGGAACCTGGTCCTTTTATACACGTATAAAAGAGGTGGGGCTTCTCTTGCAAGGTCACATCCACCATCTTGCAAATTTGGATCCACCATGTACCTTCACTTCTCCATGCATTGTTTTTAGGAAAGGAGCTGGTTAATTCTTGTGGCATCTTCTTCCCATGGCACATTTGCAAAACTAAACGAAGTGTTACAGCAGTATTTATGTGGTAGAATGTAACCGGGATTCTGGGTGGTGTGATGGCCTAGAGGTGGAGCTCTCGCCTCACAATCAGGAGGCTGTGAGTTCGATCCTAGGTAGAGGTAGATATTTCTCTCTCTGGCCCACTGAGAATATATCTGTTGAATAAAACTCCGCATTGCTGACTGGAAGGGCATCTGGCCAGTAAACACTCAGCTCCATTCAATTGCCCAGACTCCACCCTGTGAGGGATTATGGGGGTCATTAAAAGAGGATGATGATGAATGCAGCCTGGATTCCCAGGAGGGAGTCGCCAACCTTTTGGATCTCAGGGACCACCAAACTCATAATTTTAAATCCTGTGGACCAGAGACCCTGGGAAAATCCCCCCCCCCCCCCGTTTTCCTACCGATCAATCGTTCTTTATTTGGGATCGCAGGATATCGTCTCCAGCTCCATTCAGGGGGAGGGAGAGAGAGACTTTTGGCTTCATGCAAGGAAAGCAGCAGAAGTCTTTCTTCCTCTCCCCCAAACTCTGCTAGAAATGAGTCTTTGTGAGACTTGTCGCGCCGGTGCAGTCTCTTTCCTTGTGTAGTCTCTTTCCTTTCTTGCTTTTCTTGCATGCAGCCAAAAGCAGAAGAAGAAAGAAGCAGAAAGAAGCAGCCCAGTGGCCAGGCCAGGCGCGTGGGGCACGTGGGGCAAGTTCCCCCCCTCCACCCTTTCCCCCCTCCCCTCCCTACCTTGTGTTGTTCGCAATGCCAGCGATACAAGCCTTGTGTTCCCGCGGGCCATGTGGGCGGCGCAGCCTTGTGTTCTCGCGTAGCCTGAATTAATTGCTTTGGGGCTGACATTTCTCTGCGGACCATCAAAATTTTCTTGTGGACCACCAGTGGTCCCTGGCCCACTGATTGGCGACCACTGGTTTAGATAGTTTGGTTGGAAGGAAGAGGCTGAAGTCAGCTCCTTCTTAGAAGTTCTCAGAGTGTATCTTTATCGATGTTAGTACTTTGCTTTGGTTTGGCAAAAATTCTGTCTGTAGGTGAGGAGCAATAAAGAAAACTGCTTTGGAGTAACTCCGCGTGTTATTCTTGGTTCCTGGCTACATTAAGATGCATGAATTTTAACTCAGAATTCTTCAGCCAGGATGCTGGCTGGGGAATTCTGGGAGTTGAAGTCCACACATGTTAACCTGGGCAAGATTGAGAAACATTGATACAGGAATTGAACCATGTGATACGGAGTATGTATACTATATAATAAAGATGTACATAATCTGATCAGTGGGCTTTGCATTTTTAAAAATTGGCACATGTATGGAGATGCCCTGTCCGTCTAAGGGGGATGTATATATGAGGCAGTGGAGTAGATCTGCAGTCCCCAGCTTGGTGGCATCCTTCTCTGAATGAATACACTTTTTGCCCCACTAGAAAGCAGGGGGCATGGGACTCCTGTAGCCATGTGATGGCTTTTAACATGTGACTTTCTTTTGAACATCTCTGCCCTCAGGTTCCAACTACGAAGGCAAACGCCAAATGAAGGTTAGCAACAAACGCACTGTCTTTTTGCCTCCTGAGCTGCTGCTGTCCACCTACCTGGAGCAAATGAGCTGACAGACAGCAGAAAATGATGTCCTTGTTCCATTTCCCGGGCCTGCTTTGGAGATGTCTGGTTTCATTGCTTTGCAGTATTCAACACCAATCACGTTACACGGGGCTAGGTTCTCCCACCTTCAGATATGCCAGTCTTGCAGGCTGATATCCTGTTCCGGAATTGGGACCTTGATGCCCTCCACAGGTTGTGTATGGTTGCCTAGCAACTGTCCATCTTTCCTCTGTGCTGCTTCAACACTTGGAAGGCCGCAAAGGTTCTGGATGATGGGATTGGAGTGAAGGCAGTTGTCTTAAACCCAGATAGGGAGACGAAAGCTAGACCTATGGGATCTGTGACATGCAGGCATTATAAAACTACAAATCCCAGCATGCCTTGCTGGTCATCTCCAGGCTGGGCCTTCTGACTGAGCAACTGAGGAAGGCCAAAGCAGGGAGAAGCAGCCACCCCATAACAAATCATAGTTCAAACATTTTGCTTTGCTTAGGTTAAACTTTTCTACCCAGGTGCTATCCAGATATGCTGCAGGCCAATCCCATCATACCCAACCATCACCAGCAATTATCTTGTTAGTTGGGGTAATGGAGGCTGTAGTCCACCATGAGTGTTTTGTGAATAGAGAACCAGTGTGTAAATTGAAATAATGAGTAAATAGTGTGACATATTGACCGCACCATACTGGGGTGGGTGGGTTATTGTAGTCAGTTGTAGAGTAGTCCAAATACTGCTTAAAAGCACTCACTTTTTCCATGGTAGAATAATCTATATATATATAAAAGCGAAACAATACTCATGCATCATCACAAAATCTCCAGAACCGTAAAGCCTACAAACATGAAATTTGGCACGTATGTTCCTTTGGGCTTCTAGGTGCTCACTAAGAAAGGATTTTTTGAAATAACCATCAGAGCATTAGTATTTTGTATATTATTATTAACACACTCTGATGCTAAGGAGTTCTACTCCCCCTCCCCACCTGAAAAGAAATCTGTTCCAAATGCAAAACACAAGCAGAGGAGAAGAGTTTCAGTTTTAGCTTCACAGGAGCAACCAGCTTTAGTACAGAACAGTTGAGCTAAGCCACGCCCAGGCTCCTTGCTGTCTCCTTCCTGCTCACACAGCAAATATCGCTTCCGTTTCCAAACAGCCCTCAACTCTGTCACACATTGACAGGACGCTAGCCAGATGAATACCAATGGATGCTGGTAGGCAGAGACACATTTTTTTCCCTGTTATTTGCCTTCCCAAAAATTAAGCCCGATGACATAGTTTCGTAGCGAAGAGGTATACAGCTAGTATAATATAAATTCAAAAGTTTGGACTTCAGTTCCAATTCCTTTTTTATTTTCACCCTTAAAAAACTGCAAAAATGTTAGGTCTTCATTCTGAAAGATTCAGCAGCACGCAACTCTAATGATTAAATAGGTCACATTTCTCTCTAACAAGTTTAAAGCTTCTCCAGCATCTGAGACTGGTGAAGGAGATTTTTTTTTGTCTCTGTTAAGCAGAGGTGGTATTTAGCAGGTTCTGACCAGTTCTGGGGAACCGGTAGGGGAAATTTTAAGTAGTTTGGAGAACCGGCAAATGCCACCTCTGACTGGAGATTTTACAGTATCCTTCCCCTGCCATGCCCACTAAGCCACGCCCATAGAAATGGTAGTAAAAATTTTTTGAATTCAACCACTGTCTGCAAGGTTAAAATCTGGTTTCTCAGCTCAGAATAGAAACAAGCAAATTGTCCTGTTGACCAGCCTTCTTCAACCTGGTACCCTTGAGGTATGTTGGGACTGCAGCTTGCCAGATTTCTCAGAGAACTGACAAGAATGTTAATTTCATTGCGTTTCGAAAAAAATACTCTTGCTAAAAAGACCTCTCTAGTTTTCATCTAGGCCTAGTGAATTGTTCCTTAGATGGTGTCCTGATATAGGCAGGAAGGAATTAAAAAGAATGAACACTTTTTTTTTAATAAAGCTGCTGTTAAAATAAATTTTGGATGCCAGTGGTCATCTGAGCAGCTTTCCTTTGCACTAATGGGAATAGTTCATATAAAACAACTGCCAGAGATTGATACCTTTATTTCCCTTTGTATTTGCTTCAGGTTCAAATGCCTGTTGATCTTAAATTCAATACTCACCTAGTCAGAAGGCAGCCCCGTTCCTATCTCCTAAGGCAAAGGTCTCCAAACTTGGCAACTTCAAGACTTGTGGACTTCAACTCCCAGAATTCTTCAGCCAGCTTTGCTTTGCTGGCTGAGGAATTCTGGGAATTGAAGTCCACAAATCTTGAAGTTGCCAAGTTTGGGGACCCCTGTCCGAGGGCTTGCTGCGAAATAGATGTAGAATACTATTATATCGAGCCCATTTTTAAAAAGTTCTTACTTGAATCATTGGATATCTTAAAACAGCTAATCCGCACTATAAAATGCCAAGCTAATTTTAAAAAAAAGATTTTGTGGGTTTGCAAACTCACCAAATCAATTGAGTATCTTGTTCGTGACTTTATTCGTCAAGGTATCTTGTTCGTGACTTCATAATTTAGATGGCTCTTATTACGGTAGGCTTATATTAGCTGTGTTCTTTTGGATTTATGAAACAAGTGGGCATGAACTATGCTTAACCCAGCTGAACACAATAATCGGAGGGATCTGCAGGATCAGAAGATTTCATCAAAATGGCAAAGTGGGCATCGCAGTACAGGTAGCCCCCGAGTTACAACCATAGTTACAACCATTATGAGCCACGGTGGCGCAGTGGTTAGAGTGCAAATCTGCAGGCTACTTCTGCTGATTACCGGCTGCCCGCAATTTGGCCGTTCAAATCTCACCAGGCTCAAGGTTGACTCAGCCTTCCATCCTTCTGAGGTTGGTAAAATGAGGACCCAGATTGTTGGGGGCAATAGGCTGAGTCTGTAAACCACTTAAAGAGGGCTGTAAAGCACTATAAAGCAGTATATAAATCTGAGTGCTATTGCTATTGCCATAACAGATCCTGCCCATTACAGGTAATCCTTGACTTACAACCGTTCATTGACCATTCCAAATTACAACAGTGCCAAGAAAAGTAGTTTACCTCAGTTTTTCACACTTAACAACCATTGCAGCACCCCCATGGTCATGTGTGACTTGGCAACTGGCACGTATTTATGACGGTTGCGATGTTCCCGTCAGAAGATAGTTTTTGCGACCTGACAAGCAAAGTCAATGGGGAAGTCGGATTCATTTAACTACCATGTCACGGACTTAACAACTGCAGTGATTCACTTAATAACTGGCAAGAAAGGTTGGGAAAAAGTCACTTAACAACTGTGGTGTTTAGCAACAGGATTTTTGGACTCCAGTGTGGTCGTAAGACGAGCACTACTGGTATAGTCATAATTTTATATTTTTTCACAGTGGTCATTAAATGAACACGGGGTTGTAAAACAAATGCCATGTCATTAAGCGAACATCACCTCTGTTAGAAACAAGAAGTAACTGCTGGTTTTAAGTAAAGCCATTGTAAAGGTCCTGTGACTGCAGGACACGACAAATGGCCAATTATTGCAGCCCTCATGTTGCTAAGTGCTGAAAGTGTGGGCACATCATTGTGTGTGTGTGTGTGTGTGAGGGGGGCTACCATAGGAACTTTGTATCTGTGTTGTAAGTTCCCTTTTTTTCAGGTAGAACGTAACTTCAAAAGGTCACTAAACAACCGATCATAAGTCAAAGACTATCTGTACTGAAAGACAAGCTCCACCCTTTCTGTGTGTTTGCATGTGATGTCACGGTGCCCTTATAAAAGGGGTGGGGCTTGCACTGTGATGGTGCAATGCTCCTTTTCTGTCATTTGGCCCTTGGTGGCTCAGCCACTTCCCCGCAGGTCCTTCTGATAATCTGATGGATAGCCTTTTTGTTTTACTTGCAAAAGACCCTAAGAACGTTGATACTGCAAAAAGAAGAAATGGAGGCTACTATAAGGGAGAGGGCAACTGTGTGGGAAGAAAATGCAAAGAGTTCCTCTCCCACTACTCTTTTTGTCGAACTCTGTACTGCCTACCCTTTGCAGCTGTTGCCAACCTCTTAATATTATGCTGTCTATAGATAGGTGGGCTTTAAAAATAAGCACAGTGTGGCAAAAAGGCTATCAATTAGCTCCATCAAGGACTAGCAGGAGCGTGGCTCCATTAAGCAGCATCTCCACATAGATGTTAGGTCGTGTGTTTTCAAGATAGCAGCACATTTCTTCTCTCCTAGGCTTTTTTCTTTTCTTTTTTTTTTGGAGCAAACTGCAGCTAGTTGAGGAGAGGGTTTTTTATTATTATTTCTGTAGCTATGGAAACTCAAGCTCATTTTTGAGAATGGTATCTGAATTCTTATGCCATGTTAAATTATAGTTAAGAGAACAGAACAACTGCTAGATTCACCCATAACATCACACTGTCAGCCCTGGTTCAAAACAACAACAACAACCCAGTGGCTGAGTTAATATAATCTACTAAACCTTAACCCCATAAATATGATTTAGTGTGATGTGTGAATCCTGTTGCTGTACTGTGATTGAAGGCTACCTTTGGTCATTCTGTACAGAAAAAGTGGTGCACATTGGGTGTGTGTACTTGAATGCTTGCTTTGGTTACTCCAGGAATTCAGGAAATTTTGGAATTACATCTCTTCCAGCTGTAGTGAAGCCACCCTGGAGAATCTTTTTTCATGTTGGCAGAACACAAATTAAATGAGGTTATTTTCTAAAAGTCAGTTTCAAAATCCTGCTTCAATCCATCATCCCCAGTCTGGCCACTCTATTGTGCAAAATGTAACATAGTGTATTTTTTCTATGTATACATATCTATGTATATTACTGTGGATATATTAAGAATTTAATTCAGTTCTTCAAATTGCTGGGGATTAAATAACAGGGATGGAAATCAGCCTTATTGATACAAGGGATCTGAAACTAACTGTTCCTACAAGGTTACTGGTGTTTTTATCGTGATTATAATTTAGGTTTGAGATTAATAATCTGATGCCATAAAATGTGATTCAGGGTGACTGGTTGTTTAATGTCCTTTAATCTTGCAAACCACTTGCAAGCTATCAGACTACAGAAAAACAAAATCCTCATAACCATCAAGCAAGGCCTGGAAAGAAGGGCAATATTTGTAGCTCAGGGTTGAAATGAGAGGTCCTTGGTGCTCTCTGTAAGGAGGTAAATATTAAAGAAAAGAAAAGAATCTTCCAAATAACATTTCGCGGGTTTTCTGCTTTTCTCTGAGCATCCTATCTTCTAACCTCACCAAGTTCATCCCCAAAATGACTTCTTAAGCTGATTCTCCCATAGTGTTCAACATGGCGAAATTCATTTCTTGGTGCTCAACATTCTGATAGTTGATACGGTTTTCACTTTGGAGTGAAGCCGTGGTGGTATGCTATCGGTTCAGCCCGCTTCGGGCGAACGGATAGCAAAAATTCCTACCCGTTCGGCCAAAACGGTAGTAAAAAAAGCCCTCGAAGATCAGCTGAGTGGAAAAAGAAGAGAAAAGCGCAAGATTGGCCCTCCCATCTGCCCCTGCGCTTTTCTCTTCTTTATCCTCTCGGCTGATTGGCGCTACAGGCCTCAACTGGTGTGTGGAAAGCTGCGCGCGTGCGATCACCAAACCAGTAGTGTGTAACAGGTAGGATCCCACTGCTGGAGTGAAGGATTCTGCCCCTCTCCACCTTATTCCATGTAATGCCACTTGGAGTCCCGTCAAATAAAGGAAAATCACCCACACAATAATGTCTTGCCATGATGTTGGTCGCTTGCCTTGGCAGCAGTTAGTACAGGGGTTCAGTGATGCAGGTAGTCCT